CGTAGAGACATTGAGGGTCAACGTCTTGAAAGTAGCAAGGAATTGTTCAATTTTCGACATTCATCTCTACGTAATGTTATTGAGAGGACAATTGGTTTGCTTAAAAAAAGATTTGCATATTTGAGATATCAACCCTACCACGATATTGACACGCAAGCAAAAATTGTCCTCGCTTGTTCTGCTGTCGACAACTTCTTAAGAATTGATGATGTAGAAGATGTTTGTGATGATGACTTAGAAAGTAGCGATGATGAGGTTAACCCTACACATGTTGATGTACCTGAAGATGAAACTCCGAATGCTCAAATATCTTTCATAGCTCATGAAGCATGGTCTAGTAACAGGAATACAATTGCTGATTTAATGTGGGCTGATTATCATCCCAACCAGAATGCAACAGTTGATTTCGATTGAACATGGTTTTTTAGTTATGTTCTTATATAGTGGACTTAAACTTAGACAGAATTTCATATTTATCTATTGTTGAAATTGAATATATATTGTTCTACAATTTTAAATTTTGTAATTGGAATTGCTGTTATTGGAGACAAATTGTTAGATATATATTTTTTTACATGTTCTTATGTAATGGTTGGCTATAAAATTATAATCTTGCAATCTAGATTTCATGGCACATAGTCGACAAAGCTCTTCGGCACCTTTTCGAGTTCCTCGACCAACCACCCATTCAGATGTGGAGGAACTAAGCTCAACCCAAGTGGATCCTAATTCTAGGACTCGCCATGTACGTTGGAGTGATGCAATGGATGGTTGTATGATAACTGCACTATTACATCAAGTGTTGTCTAGTCACAAAAGGAGTGACAATGGTCTTTCATCATTTCATGTGTCCAAAGCAATTGAGAGCGTGTACAATGGATGCGGAGTCGTGGTGTCAGATAAGAATGTAAGGGCACGATTGAAGACTATAAAAAAAGAATATCTTGAAGTTCGTCAGTTGTTAAGTATGAGTGGTTTTGGATTGGATCCTAGCAATGGACGTGTCACAGCTGATATACTAGCTTGGAAGGAGTATTTGAAGGTATTATATTTCATTGACCAATGAAATTATTAGTCATTACAATTTAGTAACGTATTTTGTTTTGGAAATGATTCTGCTACAGGAGATCGCGCTGTACCGGCAATGACAATTTCTCCCCCATTCATGGTATGTAAAACATCGTAAATAATAATATATACGATTTATATTATATAAAAGATTCTAAAAAGTTCTTTTTTTTTCAAACAGATGAAAATGTGAATGAAGTTGATGGTCAAAATGATTTCATGGATCAAAGCGAAGTTCGTGCTCCTAAGCGTAACGTTGAAGGAGGAATCAACAAAATTCGACGTCGACGTACCCAACCCAATTATGAGAGTCTCATTGCCCTATCGAGGATTGTCGAATCGTCTAAAAAAATTACTAATGCTATGGAGATTCAAGCTACATTAGATACGCTAAACCACATCAATTGGCAATTGGTTCTGGAAAAATTACAAGGCATGAACTTAGACAAGTGTGACGCAATGCAAGTCATGAAAGTATTTCAGTCGGACGAGAGTCTAGCTAGAGTATTTATGAGCTTGACTGATAAAGAGTTCATGTGGTATATGGTATATGAGAAGCTTGGTCGTGATCCACCTCCGCTACTTTAGGATAGCGTGCTTGGATAATTTAACAACCATATGCAAAAGTATGATATCTTTGTTGGTTTGAATTGCTACTTTTTTACAGTAGAGATTTTTTGGTTTTCTTTTATTTGTTTAAGTTGATCCGTACTATGCTGGACAAACTCTGTTCATTATTCGTTGAATTGATTATTTGGTTATCTAATAATTGGTTAATGTTTTAAGGTTTTCACTTGATCAAAAATTGTGGAGGGCACCAAATCTTTTGAGACAATGGATATGAAAGTTATTGAACCCCATAAATAAAAGTGTAATTGCATCTGATTGTGTGTTTTTGAGGATTTCTTTCATGATACGAGCTACCTCAATATAATATTCAACGATTTGTTCAAGTGTTTGTTACGTATTAAATTCATCTTGCATCCGAATTATATTTGTGTAGAGATTGAAGGCATCATTGAACAATACTTTAAAAAATTGATAGAATAATTTTCATAGAAAAGTCACAATTTCCATGGAAAAAGTGACAAATTCCTTGAAAAATAATGGCTATCAAACAACAAAAGTTGGAAAAAATGATTATTTCCATGGAAAATAATGACTATCAAACACCAAAAGATGGAAAAAGACAATATTTTCTATGTTGAAAATTAAGTCAATCAAACATATTTAATTAACATTTTCCATGCAAATAATTTCTAGGCAATTCAATTGCCTAGAATTTATTTTGACCCTTTAACAATTAAAAATTTCTTATTCTTTTCCAATAAAACATGACATTTTGTCCAAAAAAATTGAATTCGTGGGCTTTAAGTTGTGATTTATCATTTTCAGACAGTTCAATCTATCTAAATATCTGGACAATGCAGTCCAGTGCAACTGTTTGACAATTCTAAACATCAAAATTACGCTATGGGATGTAGTGTCTCGACAATATGATAATTTTAAATGTCTAGAATTCCATATTCTAAATTCACGTTAGTTTGACAATGTATATTTCGAATATGGTCAGAATTATTATTTTTATTATATCTCACAATGGAGAGTTCTAAGAAAGATGTTGAATGAAATGACATGACACGACTGCAACATTGCATCAACAACTTTTCGTGTGACCGTCATTTTGTGTTGATTTTGACAATTTTCAAAATAATGTAGCCCCATCCTTCTATTCTCAACCGGAATCTCACAAGAGAATTGCACCCCATATCGTAGATGAAGAAGTAAGTCCATAGAAAATCCATGGTAGAAAGAGGACTAAACATGGGTATAAAGGCAAAATATTATGGTTATATTACTTGGAGCAAATTCCATGTAATTTGTGTCAATTTTCCTCCTATTTACAATTCATTGTCATTGAATAAATTATTCTTACGCATATTTGTACTTGTTTATTGATTTTTGTCGAATAAATTATGCTATATAATGAAATTTACGGTAAAACTTATCCAGGGCGTAATGTAATGATTAGAAAAAGGACATGTTATTAAATTTATTTACGTCCAACAATAAAATAAAATAAAAATCAATTTTCTTTGGTACAACAAACAAGTCTAACTTCCTAGTCAATATTATGAAGATCAAATTCAAATAGTTTGGGAAGTTGTAATTACCAAACTGATTGTGGCTAAACAAGATCAAATTAATTTTCATGATTCATCAACACCAATTTAAGCCGTTCACAATGAGAAATATTCTTTTGAGCGGTAGAGACTCGAGTCTTCAATAGGAAATTTTTTTAGTACTCTTGAAATTTGGAGTACTCTATGTCAGTATATAATTGACACGTATATTAAATAATTGAGAATCATTATTTAATTGAAATTCAAACATGAATAAATACTACATGTCAATTGATTAGTTATTGAGTTCCATATTCTAAGATTGTGTTTGGTGTGGATTAAAATTAGATTTTTAGTGGATTATGATAGATGTTTTTGAAATGTTTGGTTGAAAAGATGTGAGACTCATGAACGATGTGGTTAATATTGATTATTTGACTTTGACTTAAATTAAAATCAGATTTTAATCCTTTAGAGATTAGGTTAAAGTTACACCATCCTTTAGCTATTCTCTCTTAATTTATCTCCAAGTTTGTTACCAAAATTTTGGACAAATTATTATCGTAATTCTTAGTCAAAACTTAAACATTTATACACAAAAATATGGCAAGTACTTTCTATTCATATATTGTGTGTTGGACAAAATTTATATTATAATCTAAACTAGCCATTCATTTTATGAACCCCAAACTTTATAATCCACCCACTTTTTGTAAAATTTTACATGGCAAACTATTATAGGTTCTGCTGCCTACTTCCATTTTACATGACTCTAAATCAAAGGTAAAACAAAAAAGTTCGATCCTCGATTCTCTCAAAACAAAGCAATAGCGAAACCCAAATGAATAGTCAATAATAGTAAACAAAATTTGCAGAAAC